GCCGTACAGCAGACCCTGGATGGACTAAGGAACAGGTTCCCTGATCACCTTGCGGGGGTGGGATAAGAAGGTATCCACATCAAAGCCACCTGAGAGAGGGACAATGGGACCAGGAAAAGAATCTGACAGGCTGGAAGTTTGAACAGGTGACAGGAGGGGGAGGAAAAAGTGCTGCGTGTACTGAGCTGAACTTACACAGATGAGTGTCTCCAGAGCTTCTGATGAGGCCAGATCCTGATTTGACATAAATCATTGCACGCTGTTGATTTCCATGCAACTACAGCATCTTGCGCCAGCTGAGGATCCATCCCTCGAGGCCCAGTTTACCCTCTTCCTTTGCCTTTGATCCATCTTTTCTCTCTCAAAACTTAACAGCTCTTCGTTTTTTTTAGACCATTTGGGTCTGACGCTATAGTTTGGGAATTTTGCATGGATCATGAAAGAGAGGGGAGAAAAACAGCCTTCATCAGTGATGGAAGGAAGAGCAGAGTCTCACCCTATTTGGGATCTCAGAACAAGGGCATGAACTGAGGTGGAGACTGCTGTTGTCACACACGGTGCTTGCAGGGCTTTGGCCCAGCAAATGCATGTATAACACCTTCTGACAAGGTGGGGTCAGAGACCAAGGTGGAAAGGGTGAACCCTAGAAAGACATTGCTGGTAAGACTTCAGCTATCTGTAGTCACCTGCCTGTATAGACTCACTGGTTACCACCTGCTCCTGTTAGGGATCTGGCAGCCTGCGAGGCTGCTTGCAGGTGGTGCAGGGAGCTAATGAGAGGCTCACCTGACCAGAAGAGGGCTCAGGCTGGAGCTATATAAGCCCAGAGCTTAAGCTGTTCTGGGCCTCTCTCTCTGATAGCCCCAAGATGAGCTCTAGGCAGCAGGGTTCCTGAAGGGACTGCAACTTCTTGACACCTCTGCAAGCCTTCTGGGCTTAGAAGGCCTGAGTTTTTACAGGCAAGTGTCCTTTTGAGCCTACAGAGGGTTCTGGTGCCCAGGGAAGGGCTAAGCCAGAACAAAAGGTCCCTGAGCTCAGAGAAGGGCTGTAAAGCAGAGTAGGGGTCCAGGAGCCTGGAGAAAGGGCAGCATGCAGGACCAGGGGTCTGAGAGTCCAGGAGGAGACTAGAAGAGAGCGGGGGGGGGGGGTGTCTGAAGGCCCAAAGGGGCTGAGTGTATGAATAGTCAGCATCATAGAAAGACCACCAGCTGTGAGGCTTGGGGTGTAGTACAGGGTACATAAGGAGAGGGCTTGCTAGTTTGGGGGCATTAGACTGTGACTGAGGAGACTCAGGGGAGGTCTAGTGAGGATCAACACAGGCCCAGGCTCACACAGAGCCCACAGGCAGCCTCCCTTCTATTGCCTTCATTAAGAGCAAGATGGTGGTGGGTGAGATGCAAGGGAAGGCCTGCAGCCAAGCCTGAGCTGGGCAGGGGCTACACAGCCACCAAGGGGTGTCACATCTGCCCCCATCACCACAGACCAGTTGTACTACCTGGAAATAGTTTCAGGTCACAGCAATAATCTAGGGGATTATTATACTTCAGGAACTCACCATCTTCTTCCCTTAGTTGCATGGTGACTCTACTAGGAGCCTGATTGTGCAGTGAGACCAGTACACATACCCTCACACTCACGATATCCCATTTAAAAGCTAGCCACTAGACGGTACTCTGGGGCCGTAGGATACTATTATAGTTCTTATTCTATATATGTAGTGCAGTTGCACCATGCATCAGCCAGTCGGATACTTGCCATGGGTGCCTATAAAGAGCTACTCTGATGCGCTGTAACTGCAACACGTTGGAGCAGATGCAATTAATCAAGTCTGCTGGAGCATGGTAATTACTGTGCTCTAGCACCCTCCATCTTCTTGTGTATCTGCATCTCCATGTTTAAAAATTGCAGCAGGGGTGCTTTATCTAAAACACGTTTGACAAGTTTTAGATAAAGTGCCCCGCCACCACTTTGAAGCATGGCGACACTGATACACAAGATGCTCTGGGCACTTTAATTAGATTGGCTCTCGGAGCCTCTAATTAAAGTCCTTCCCTCCCCGAGCATGTGTATAAATGCCTTATTGCATCAGTAGTTCATCACAACCCTGTCTGACATATCTGTTTCCATTATGAATAGGACATGTGCTTCCCTGATTGGTCAAGCTGTGCAGGGATGCTGCCAAGTTCTTGTCTGAAGGTGGTGTTGCACTAGTAAATCTTCTGTGCTGGCCACAGAACCTTGTTAAACATGTTTAACACTGCCAGGGCAGTGTTACATCACTTTGTCAAGCTGCTTTGAGGCTTCCTGTTATACCAGAGCCTTAACTGGTATAAACCACAACGGCTCTGAAATCAAGGGACTTGCCTGGTTTGCACTAGCTTGATGCAGGCCATCCAATTTTAAAGGTGATTTGAAATTGAAACTATTGACTAAATTCCACCCTAACTCAGCAAGGTCACTGTGGGGGTCCTAAGGTGCATAGTTAGTAGCCCAGAAGCTGCAAGTTCAAGGCTTCAGTAGAAATGCTTGTGGTGCTGTCTTTTAAGTTTCTAGTGAACCTACAAATTCTCCTAAGTACCTTGTCACAAGGACGCAAAGGACTCTGGGTTGCAGAAGGTGTAAATGGCACCGGAATACTTGCCCTCATGTTGGTCTGAAGTCCTCATGTTACAGTGGCTACTACTTGAATTTAAACTCCACAGGGAGGCACACAATTGTTGCCAGGTAACAGTGTATCTAGCCCCAGAGCATTGAAAGGAGTGGGCCTTGAAACTGCTGAAGAATAAGTGAAGTCAGAAATGATACTTTATTATAAGAAGATTGGATTGGATGGAAAATGGATTGCTTCTGGCACAGGTGATCTACATTATACCCAAACCAAACTTGCAATGCATGTGTATGCGTGCATGTACACTGAATTTCAGCAGCTTTGTCTTTCTCAAGAGTACATTGTGGTAGATTACTTTCATAGCTCAGATGCTTAAAATGTTAAAGTATATGAAATCTGCAAGCATTTTTGTGATCATATGCATGACTGGATGCATTATCCTCTCCACGGTGAGCTTACAGTATGGTCATTTTGATCCAAAACCACAGTGATATGAAGTCTAGTAAAAAAGAAGCTCTTTGTAATGTGCTTGTGTGAGCCGATGAGTGACTTGGGCCCAAATGGCCCGTGATAGAGCAAAAAGGAACTTTTTGGAGGGGTAGGCAGGATAAGGGTGGGGGGAGAAGGGTCTCAAAATCCAAAGCAGTTCATCTAATTCTCTTTAATTGTAAGGCTACATTGTGCTCATATGGCTCTTGGAGTAATGAAGTGTTAAATTATATTTGAATTATGGAGAATCATGTTTAAATCAATCCAAGAGGTTCTTTTATTGCCCTGTGTTCAATGAACCAACAATAGTTTCCCTCTGTAGAGGGCCACTGAGACTCTTTATATAGAGTGGTAAAACAACTTGGCATGTTAACCTTTCCAAATGGCAGAGTCGGGCTGAAGATCACTGGCAGAAAGTTTCTTCCAAGAAAATGAGATGTGTGGGATATGTCGACGTGCCACCCCTGAGGCTCTTGGGAAAGGACCTTCCCAGGGACCCTGTTGTTATGCTGGGTCATAGGTGGCCAGGTCTGGGAGTTACCTCAGGGTCAGGAAAAGCAGCTGAAGTTCAAAAGGTGGTCCTCTTCACTAGGCCTGAGATCACTTGTTTTCCTTGACCCCCTCTCTGGGGGCATATGGTGCACTCTTCTCCTGGAGTCCCACTGTAGCAGCACAACTTCCATGGCTGGTGGTGTTCCCCGTCTCCTGGTATAGGGGATCAGAGCCCTCCATCCATTGGCACTGGGTTGGGAGGGACCATAGCAGGGTGAGTCCCTGGAGGCAAGGCCCTTCTCCTCCCTGCATTCCTGGAGACAAAGGTCAATCCAGGTGGCTAGATCCACAAATGCATTGAATTCTGAGAGTGGTTAGAACACATCCTTAATTTTCTCCCATAGACTTCAGTGAAATAATAGAGTTGGGCTGCTTAAGTTCATTGGGTGTCTGCTGCATAGCAGTGAAAGAGGGAAGTGTAAGTCACAACAATACTTTCCCCTTGATGTAGGGACCACAGAGCAATCCCTGCCATCCAGGCTGGGTGAGGATCCCCAAATGTGATCATGAATTTCTTGAGGAATGCTCCCCAGTACTGGAGGACCAGACTACTATGCTCCACCACCAATATGGTCCAATTTTGGGCATTTTCTGTTAAAAGGCTGACCCCCCTAGGCTCACCTTTGCTCAGTCTCAGGAGTAGAGCTTGGTTTACCACCATTGGATGAGGAACCCACAGAACTGTAGCTGGTTACCATCATGCTACTCTCAAAAGGGGATGGGTAGATGGGGTTCCAGGCAGAGACTTGGGAGCAAATAAACTAGTTCTCCACCAAATGCAGGACCTGATCTTCTAGAACTTGCCAGGCAGAGGCTATTTGTGTGAGCTGGCCTGGCTTGAATGGGTCCTGGGATCCTGATATGGAGTTTACCTCCAGGCTGATCTCCCTTTGCTGCATGTAGTGGTCTGAACAACTTGCCATGCTGGGTAATAGGCAGCCAAATCTGGGGGTCACCTCAGGGGTCAGGAGAAGCAGCTGAAGTCCAAGGGGTGTGCGCCAAGCCAGAGGGTAAGGAAGCCAGAAGATCCATCTGGGAAACCAAATCAGAGATCCAGACGGTCAGACAGAGCACAGGGTCAGGAGGTAAGCTGGGAGAAAATCAAACCAGAATTGGGTTAGATATCCAGAGGATCAGGCCAAACTTGAGGTCCATGGGCAAGTCGGGTAGTGTATCCAGAGGGTCTGTCAGGAAGCCAGTAGTGGCACAAGCCCAGGGTCCAGCAGCCTGGGTGCAGGATTGAATCTTGTTGCCCAGATGCTTCCTTTTCCAGGTCAGGGGTTTATATTGAAAAGTGTGAGGGCAGCTAACCCCAGCTGGCTACTCCAGTGGCAGGGAGTGAGCATGTGGCTAGGCCTAGCTGGAGGGATATGGCCACCTGTTTCTACCCCCAGTGCTCTGCTAAGGAGGTGGCAAACAGGAATGATCAGGTAGGCTGAGGCAGCAGGTTCAAGGCCATAGCCTGACACGCCTGCCCACTTGTTCCTGCTTGTGTGTGCTAAGTCTAGAAATGCAGTGATACCAAGAGCTCCCCCATGGCTGCTGTCAAGCATGATGGAGACTGAGTTTTTTCAAGTGTGGCAGAAGGGCTAACTGCCTCTCGTCTCAAGAATGGCCAAGGGGGTCAGCTTCATCAACCCACTATATGGACTGGATATCTGAGAGTGGAAGTTGAGGGCCAGAAGTGTGTATTCAGGACTGTCCTTCCCAGACAGCACCCAGAAAGTAGAGCAGACACGCAGGGGGCCTAATTCTCATTCATGGCAAGGTGCCCTTGTACATGCAGCTTAAAGCCCTCTTTATACCCCAAGAATAGTGTAAACCAGTCCCTGTGGAGACT